AGGTTTAAAACTTGGTCAGAGTTCCCATCTTATCTAAATATAAACGGGAAAAATGTCATTTAAATCATCATCTTTCAAATTTGATCGAAATATAACACCAACTTTTTTTAGAAGCCAAAAAAACTCTCAATTTTTCTTGACAAGCCATTTTAATCACAAACTTTCTTGACCATACTATTTTATTCATGTCGTTAGTCAACAGTTATAGTTGACTAACGGGAGGCTTAAATTGGCGTTTAAAGTTGATGATTTTTTGGCACAAATATAAATCAACATTTTTCTATATTTTAAATATTGAAAAAAATATTTTTAATACTATAACACTAATAAATAAATTTTAAATAAAAAATAATTCAAACCAAAAATATAAATAAAACTCCTTGTAAAATAATTAGTTAACATATCATTAATTAAGTATTTTAGTTAAAAATGATTATGACGATTTTTTAATAATTTACAGTTAATTTTTTAAAACACTTATATAATCATGTTTGGATTACGCTTTATAATTTATTTTAAAAATTTGTTAGTGAAATATTTATTCAACTCTTTTTTCTTAAACGAAAAAGAGTTATTGGTTAATTGATTCTTCATGATTATTTATATTTATAATAAATATTTTAAACAAATCTATATAATTTCTATAACTTGTTGCAAGTTTTTTTCTGCATTGAAAGAAAAATCATTTTTACCAAAAAGTTTTAAGATCCAAAATGTTCCTACATTAAGAGTTTCCATTTTGGATGTGAGAACATTTTAGATCTTCAAATTTTTCGATGAAACTTGTTTTTCTTTAAATGCAGAAAAACTCTCGTAACAAACTTATAGAATTATATAGATTTGTTTGAAGATCTTTATTATAAATAGTGAAAATTCCATATTAATACACAAGTTTTATTATTATTTCCAATTTAATACACAACCTTTTTAAGTGACCAGAATAAAACAAGAGCTAATTTTGTTTGGTCTTTTAAAACATCTACTAAAGCCCGTGTAAGCTATTTATACGAATACGTTAACTTGATTAACGTCACGACAAACACCGTAAATAAGTTGTTAAAGTCATCGTTAAGTACTAATCATGGTTAATAAAGTAACCTTTGTGTAAAACGGTGTTATTTAAAGTTCTGATTTCCCCAAATAAAAAACCCTACTTTCTCATCGCGACAAAACGATTCGTCTCCTTCTCTCTAGCACAGAGATGATTGAGGTGACAGTGTAAACTTTGTGACGAATAAAGAGTTGCAAAGATGAGGTATGAGTCGGAAGCCCTCGTTAATGTTCTCGTTTTTTCGGTTAACTCACCTCTTCGTTTGTGTTTTACAGTGACATCAATGGTGGTCTAAAGATGCACATTGGATATGGTAGTTCAATGTCATACAAACGAGAGAAGTTCTCATACTCCGGGTTTCAGAAAAATTCCAGGAAGTTATAAGAAAAATAGGTTTAAAGCAACACATGAGTCACCTACAAAACCCAACCGTGTGACTCGTGATGGCAGGACAGTCACATGTGGTAACTGTAGAAAGGTTGGACATAACCGTCTCACTTGTAAGAATGCAGCTGATGTGGTTGAAGGCAAATGTTTAAGACCATGGAAGATATATGTGAGTATATAGTCAATATTGCCTTTGAATATGTATATGATAGCACTTATGTTTCTTATTTAACATCACAGGCTGAAGGAGAAACAAATCCAAAACGACCAAGGAGACAGAAGAAAACACAATCCCAATCTTCCATCAACACACCAGATGTTATCTCGTCATGTCCTGAGGCATCAACAAGACCATCCTCTTCTATTACAACTGATGCAGCAACAATAACACCTTTAACTGGTCGTAGTCGTGGCTGTGGGCGTCATCCTGGATGACGACAAGCACGTAGAGAGATCATTCCTAGAGGCCAAGGTGTCTACATAAATCCATTTACTAACAGAGTATTTGAAGTTATGGAAACAATTCAAGAGTTATAGACTCTTCTTCTAAAGAATGATGCGTGTTGTTTATCTAAACATCTTGTGTCCAATACTCTACTTATTGTGTTGTCTTTGTATTTCAGTCTTTGAATATTTGTCTTTTGTTTCAAACACTAGTTATCATATTGTCTTTAGATGTTCACTTTTAATAGTTTTCTTCGATTCGAACTTTCTTTTTTTTTGTCTGCTTACAACAACACAGCTAAACAAACTAATATTATAACCACGAAATCACCAACAAATTAACAAGTCAGACACTTACGACCAACAACACAAACCCAAAAGAACTACAATACAAACACAAAAGAGCAACATATTGTTACTTTAACCGACCAATTGCATATTTTTGCTCCAGGATTACATATTGCGCTTCCAGCAAAGCTATCTTCTACCATCCTGAGGCTTTTCTAGGGATGTCAAAGTTGGGACTGGGCCACGGGACAGGCCCGTTAAAACCTGTGGCGGGGCGGGTTCGGGCCTAGGAATTTGCATCCCGCAGAATCGCGGGCCTCGCGGGATGGGCTTCATGCGGGACGGCCCAAAGAAGACCGCGGTTCGCCCTAAGTACCGCTTCCTCTTCTCCATTCCATTTCAGCCGACCTGAAAAAACAAAAAGAGAGAGAGAGAGAGAGAGAGAGAGAGAGAGAGAGAGAGAGAGAGAGAGAGAGAGAGAGAGAGAGAGAGAGACGAGATCGGCGAGACTCTTCTTCTCCGGTTCCGGTTACTCGCAAAGACTCCGCCGGACGGTGGAGGGTCATCTTCTTCTCCCGAAAGCTGTGACAAGAATCTTGTTGTTCTTGATTCTGGAAACTCTTTCCACTGGAGAAGAGGACCCTCCATCGTCCGCTGGCTTCTTGAGCGATGGATCTTCACGGATCTTGAGGGATCTTGAGTTCTCTCCATGGATCTTGATTGATCTTGACAGGTTTTGAGTTCTCTCTTCATGCATGCGACGGATCTGGTGTTGTTTGATGTCTCTGTCTTTAATCTTTTTAGTTTTTCGAATATTCTCTAACTTTGTTCTCCAAATTTCAGGTACATGCAAGAGTTGAACCACCACCACCAGCCGAGTTCTTCATGACTGGTGTTTACTTCAGGATACTCAAGCTCCGGTGACTCCTCAGCTCGCCGACGACATGGGGCATCATCTAAAGGATTTTTTTATCTTTGTATGTTCCTGCATGTAACATGTTCTTTGTATAAATTTGGTGTCTAACTTTTTTTTTCCCTGCATGTTCTTCAATCGGAGCTTCCAGATGGTGGAGGGTCATCTTCTTCGCCGGTGAGGAGTCCCTGCATTACCGCCGGTGAGGAGTCCTTGCATGTTAAAATTAATTTGGTGTAGAACATGTTACATGTTTTTTGTATTTATAATATATACGATGTCTACTTTTAATTTTGTTTCTGCATGTACTTCAATTGGAGCTTCCATTCAAGTTACATCGGAGAAGAAGAAGGTTACATCTGATGTCTAATTTTAATATTTTTTTCTGCATGTTCTTTAATCTTTAGTTACATCTGATGTCTAATTTTAATTTTTTTTTCTGCATGTTCTTTAATCTTTAGTTTAATTTTAAAAATTTTATAAAGGTTTGATAAATTTAGATAATTAATTAATTAATATTTTAATTTGTTAGACTTTGACAAAATTTAATATTAAATTTAATTTATTGCTTGAATTGAGTGTTACATGAGTTACATTGCTTGTCTTCAGTAGGACACCGAATTTAAGCCTCCTAGCTTTTGAAAAATCATCCTAAGGACTCAAGGGTGACTGTTCACAGGCTAGGCGGTTGAATTCGGTCCGAACTTAAGACAAGATTGAACTCATTGACTTTGTGATTGTTCTGTTTGTTTTATATCTGCCTAGTTTGTTTGTATTAAGTAGGTTGATATGTCTGATCTAAATTTGTTAAATTTATTTTTATAGGATTGTTTGAATTGAGTGTTATATGATTTGCATTGTTTGTCTTCAGTAGGTCACCGAGTTCAAACCACCTAGCTTGTCAAAAATCATCCTAAGGACTCAATTGTGATTGTTCACAGGCTACGCGGTTGAACTCGGTGCGAACTTAAGACAAGATTGAACTAGGTTAAAATTAATATGTCTGATCTAATATGTATGATCTAAATTTTTTAAAATTATTTGAATATGATTGCTTGAATTGAGTGTTGCATTACTTGTCTTTACTAGGTCACCGAGTTTAGGCCTCCAAGCTTTTGAAAAATCATCCTAAGGACTCAAGGGTGATTGTTCAGAGGCTTGGCGGCTAAACTCGGTGCGAAGTTAAGACAAGACTCAGCTAATTGATTTTGTGATTGTGCTTTTTGTTTGTATAAATATTTGAATATGATTGGTTTTACACGAATTACATTCCTTGTCTTGAGTAGGTCACCGAATTCAATCCTCCAAGCTTTTGAAAAATCATCCTAAGGACTCAAGGGTGATTGTTCACAGGCTTGGCGGTTGAATTCGGTGCGAAGTTAAGACAAGACTCAACTCATGGATTTTGTGATTGTGCTGTTTGTTTCATATCTGCCTAGTTTGATGTCTCTGTCTCGGTTAGCTATTTCTCTTTACTTATGTAACTTTATTTTATATTTTCTTTGCCTGAGATGATGGACTGATCGTGAACAAGCAAGCATGATCAATGGAGAATCAAGTTAAAACAATTGAAGCTTTAAGGTGAGTAACTTTATCTCTGGAAGTGGAACGTAGCTTAGGGTTTTAATTTACTAGCATTGCGTAGGTTATCGGTAGGCCAGTTAGCTTAGAGTTTTAATTTACTTACATGTTCAGATGTTCTGATGTTGAGATGTTTAATAAAGTTTACTTGCATAAAATTTCAAATATTTAAAAAAAAAATATTTGCAATTTTTTTAATAAAATTTTAACAAAATTTAGAAAGCCCTAATAACTAAAACTGTTTTAGAAAAACCGCAAGACGTGAGAGAGAGACAAAAAAACACCAGAAGGTCCAGAACCTAGCCTACCAGAACCGCAAAACCCAAGAGAGAGAACATGGGATCGAGAGGTGACTCAGAAGATCACACGTTTGATCCGAACTACGTCCTACCAGACAATATTGACTTGGAAACTCAAAATCTCATAACTAGGAATGTCGCAGAAGAAACAATCGTTGATCGGTTCGTTGAAGATGATGTAGTTTCCATTCCTGGAAAGAAAGGAAGCAAAAGAAAGCTTATCAGTCTTGTAGATGAAACTGATTATTCTGATGTTGAGATCACTCCATCAACCCAAAAAACCAAGCCTCGCAGAAAGACTTCTTTTGGAACAGCCTCGAGGAAACCGATGTTGCAATCCACTATAGATGGTGGTATTGGCTCATCCTCACAAGCGCTTAGAAAGTCTGTTCCTATGAAGTCTGTCATTCGTGGAGGGAGAAGAAAGACCGTGCCTTCTCAATTGCCAAAGAAGAAGGTCGTGCCTACTAAGTCGCAAAAGAAGAAGGAGAAGGTCGTAGAGGACATACCGGACTTTGACGATGAACTCGAATATGAAGAAGAGGATGGTGATGATGAAATCGGTGACGAGGAAAGGGAAGAGAGGCAAAGATCTGATGTGTGGACCGATTTTAAGGTGGTACATAAAGCCAGTGGGAAGTTGAAAGCTGCATGCAATCATTGCAGGAATGAGTATGCATGGCATTCCCATTCGAATGGAACCAGTGGGCTGAAAAGGCATCGTAATAGATGTAAAATGTATCCAAGGAATCGAGGAGGTCAACAACAACTCAACCCCGTGGGTAAAGTTGTTCCTCGCAAGTATGATCATGTTGTGTTTAGGCAGATGGTAGCTAAGACAATAGTACAACATGATCTACCTTACTCGTACGTGGAGTATGAAAAAGTGAGAGACACATGGAAGTATTTGAATGCCGATGTGAAGACCATTTGTCGAAACACGGCGAGAGCAGATGTGTATCGTTTATATGAAAGTGAGAGAGACACACTGAAGAGGGAATTAGGGAGTCTTCCTGGACGAGTTTCTTTCACAACTGACTTGTGGACATTAGTGAAACGGGAAGGATACATGTGTGTGACAGCACATTACATTGATCGGAATTGGAAGTTGAATAACAAGATTCTGGCTTTTTGTGCTCTACCTCCACCTCATGACGGTATGAAAATTGCTGTCCGCTTCCTTGATACACTGAGAGAGTGGGGAGTTGATAAGAAGATATTTTCTCTCACTGTAGACAATGCTACAAGTAATGACTCGATGCAAGATATTGTCAAATCTCAGCTAAATTTGAGAGATGATTTGCTGTGCGCCGGAGAGTTATTGCATGTTAGATGTGCAGCTCACATACTGAACCTCATAGTGCAATATGGGTTGAAGGTTATTGGAGACTCTTTGCACAAAGTAAGAGAGAGTGTTAAGTATGTGAGGATCGGAAACGCGTGAATATTTGAAAAATGTGTGGATGCTGCGGGTGTAGAAGAAAATGGGGGGCTAATACTGGATGTGTCGACAAGATAGAACTCAACTTACTACATGCTTGAAAGGGCCTTAAAATACCGTAAAGCATTTGATGGTACGGGACGGGACGGGACGACCTGTTTGACAATCCTAGGCTTTTCTGTTGACATTTTTCTTCTCGGTTGATTTGACCTCACTCTCATACGAGATACGACCAGCCTCTTTTCTCACTCTGTTTTTTTTTTTCTGTTTTTCTGTCTTGTATTTCGTCAGACACAAGACACTCTCTCTTTGTTTCTCACTTGCGCTACAACTGAAATACAAGCACACACACTTGACTTCTCTTCTCCTTTGACTTCTTGTTGACCACAATGGTTGCTTCTTCTTCCTCGGTTTCTTGCTGTCCAAGTTTATTTTTCTTCTTTGTAGCTTCTTCTCAGCTACTCTTCCTTGTTCTACTTCTTTGAGTTTTAATCAATGTCCAATCTCAACATTTTCAACATCAAACCACTTGAATGAATTGCAACAACTCCTTCTCCCCGGATTTCTGTCCGTCCAAGCTTTTATTACCGTAGCCGATAAGCTACAAAGACACTTTGTATCTCCCAAAAACGTGCCGAAACCCTCTTTACCGCAGCTTCCATTTGAACCACAACCCGAGTTTTGACTATGATTCATCTCTCTCTTTCTCTGTAGCTATGTCCCTCTCTCTATTATGCTCACGAAATAGACTTCGAAACTAAGGTTTCAATTGGGAATTTTCTGTGTATAACTAATTTATTAACCATGGTTTAGCTTTAAAGAATAACTTTAATGATTTATTTACGGTGTTTGCCGTGACGTTAATCAAGTTAACGTATTCATATAAATTGCTTACACGGGCTTTAGTAGATGTTTTAAAAGACCAAACAAAATTAGTTCGTGTGTTGTTCTGGTCACTTAAAAATGTTGTGTATTAAATTGGAAATAATAATAAAACTTGTGTATTAATATGGACTTTTCCCTTATAAATATAAAGAATGAAGAAGAATCCATTAACCAATAACTCTTTCGTTTAAAAATTAAGAGTTGAATTAATATTTCGTTAACAAATTTTTGAAAATAAAATTAGAAAACGTAATCCAAATAAGATTATATAAATATTTAAAAAAATTAACATTAATAATTAAAAAAATCTTCATAAGCATTTTATAACTAAGATACTCAACTATGATATGTTACCTAATTATTTTATATTGATTGCTGTTTATATTTTTGGTTGGAATCATTTTTATTGATATTTTTTTAGTAGTGTTATAGTATTAAAAATATTTTTTCAAATTTTAAAATATAGAAATTTTTTATTTATATTTGTGCCAAAAAATCATCAATTTTAAAAACCATTTTAGACCTAGCGTTAGTCAACTATAAATGTTGACTAATGACATGAGTAAAATGGTATGGTCAATAAAAATTTGTGATTAAAATGACTTGTCAACAAATATTGAATATTTTTTTGGTTTACGAGAAAGTTGATGTTTTATTTTGATCAAATTTACAAAATAATTATTTAAATGACATTTATCCCAAATATGAACCAAAAATTCAGACTTTTTTAAGACTCTTTGTTTTGATTTGTTTCCGTTAGGATCAATTTGCTTCCGTTCGGATGAGAGCTTTGAGAGAGAAACGTGGTTAAAGTTTTTAATTAATAAATAAAAACAATTTAGATCTAATCATATATATGGTAAGGAAGATGTAATAGATAATCACAAACCCTAAAAAGTATGGACCATAATAGCAACATGTGGTTTAACTGTCACCTTAACAAGTTGCTAAGTTACTGACTGTATTTAGATCAACCAATCAATTTTAATTTTCTTTCTCGTCCTTAAAGTCTTTTTTTTTGTTCTTAAAGTTCACTTTTGAGTCTAGCATGTTAATTAAATATTCATCATCAAAATAAAATACATATGGATATAGTCACATGACAAAATCCATAAAAGACTCCACTCTACAACCTACAAAGAAACGTAAATCTCCACAAAGTGATTCTATCCAGCGGTGTAACATCTTTTGGGGTTAGTCTCCAATTATTGCATACTCTTTTGTTAGGTAACTTGTTCATAAAAGACTTCGAATTTTGTGTAAGACTTTAAAGTTAAAACAAAAGAAAAAATTAATATAGAGAAAATCATATAGTCAAGAAAATTTATATATATATATATATCATGATTAAAGAGAAATTCCATAAACTAGTCTTGTTAATAAATCTCAGAAACAAGAAGCACAGTCTATAATAGAGTTTGTCCTGGCCGTTAAGAGAGAGATTTCTTTTTGTCAAACCGTTCGACTTGCTTCTATGTTGCCAAAATGATATCTTTTAAGTTGATTCATTAGAATATATATGTATAATGGGGATGTTAAATAAAAAATTCAACTGTTGAATCGGTACAATATAGACATTAAAAACAATAATTGATTATGTGAATTATTTGATATTGAAAAGATTTAATATGTTAAATAAGAAAAAAAATGAAGACTATAAATATCACTTTCTAAGAATTTTTGATATTTTAAAATTCTTTTAATATTTTAAAATCAATAATTTTATTATAAATTAAATAATAATATATAACAGAGAGAGATTTCTTTTAAGAGTTTATCCTGGCCGTTAAGAGAGAGATTTCTTTTTGTCAAACAGTTCGACTTGCTTCTATGTCGCCAAAATGATATCTTTTAAGTTGATTCATTAGAATATATATGTATAATGGGGATGTTAAATAAAAAATTCAACTGTTGAATCGGTACAATATAGACATTAAAAAAAATAATTGATTATGTGAATTATTTTATATTGAAAAGATTTAATATGTTAAATAAGAAAAAAAATGAAGACTATAAATATCACTTTCTAAGAATTTTTGATATTTTAAAATTCTTTTAATATTTTAAAATCAACAATTTTATTATAAATTAAATAATTTAAATTTTTGATATTGACAAAAAAAAAGAATTTTTGTTTTTTTTTAATTTGTTTACTTATTTAAAATCAATAATCTTATTATAAATTATATAATTTATATTTATTTCCTATACAAAAATTTATCATTTTAAATTTTCTATAAATAGATATTAAATTTATTATTTGGACACATAAAAAGATAATTATTAATTAAGAAAATAAGATGTTAAAATTTATTCAATAAAAATATTGTAATGGATAAAAAATTAAATATGTGTTGAATGATGAAGTAAAAAAAAAGATTAGATGATATTAAATATTAAAAATGAAGTGATAAGTGTTGAATCTTAAAACAATTGTGGATAGGTTTACTATATATTCTATTGATTTTGTGGAACTGTTTCTCTTCTTGTTATCCGTTAATGTTTTTTGTTGACAGGTAAGGTCATTAGAATAAACGATTTCTTAGTACAACAGAAAAAACCATATTGACAATTTACTATGAAATTTATTGGTAAAACCTCTACAATGTTTCAAAAACGTGATCAGACCGTTATTGTTTAAGTAGATTTTGTTTTTAAATTTCGATTTTTGATTCTTTTTAATTTTGGTTTTTGATTTTTTTTTTTACTTTCAGGTTTTTGTTCCCTTTGTTTTAAGCTATAACTGTAAAAAACTAAGCAGTGACATTTTGGATTATGTTGCAACATTTATATATATATATTAAATATTATTTTTTCTAGCAACAAATCTCATATGTCCTTTGCTCAGGTTTAAGATCATTAACTTTCTTCTTATCAGATTTCATAGTCAAGTGGTCTTTGGTTTTGTACATTGTATTATGTCCTGGTTTTAAACCAATTGTTAACAATATTTATTTTAACATGTTGAAAAGAAGTGTTTCTCTACCAATAAAGATACGGTATTATAAAACATTATTAAGCCTCAAAGCAAAATATGAGGTATATATGTACAAGCCAGCAAGATAAAGCATGTCTTGTCTCCAAGGCAACAGCAACCTTACGTTCTCTCTTATATCTCATTATGTAAAATATAACAATTTTAACCAGTCTTTACAACAATATAGCCTGAAACATGAAGCTCCATCATATAGGTTCTAGTGAAAAAATTATGTATGGCCCATAAACAACTATCTATGAACTATTCAAAATCTTTTTTTTATTTAACTATTCAAAATCTTAATATGACTTTTGGGAGAATGAAAGAATCAAAAGAGGATTTTCTTCAAAAAAAAGAAACAAAAGAGGAAGTTAAAGAGTTCATCAGTAGTCATTTGAACTGAAACTGAAATTACTAGGTCATCAGCAGATCAGATGAGTATTACATTTAGAGATCACTTTTTCCACATTACCAACAAAAAAAAGACTTTTCAAAAATATAAAGTATATATATATGTGTATCCCATCTTCAACAACAACCAAAATAAAGTAGTCACGCCATAATCAATTAATCACCCCTTATTTTCAAACCACACACAAATACATGCATTTAGATATCTTTTTCTTAGTTTTTTCTTTTCAAATATCTTTAATCATACCTAATCTTCTTTATTATTCCCAACATTTGATTTGATATATGTATTTTCAAAAGATATTATATGCGTTTCTTTTCAGTAAATCTTGTATATCAGTTAAATGATTTTCACTAATAACTATTCTTTTTAATCTTAAAATGAATCCAATTTTACTAAGACAACAATTGAACACATCAAAGATGCCTTTAAAAGCATCTCCAAATAGTTTACAAAAAAACATCTCCAACCCCCCCCCCCTCCCCTATATATGCCTCAATAATTTAGAGGGAAATCTACTCAACCCAACTATATTTTTATAAATAATTCTTGTTATTTTTTCCTCTGTAAATAGGGGAAAATTACCAATATTCTATATTTACTCTATAATTAGAGATTACTATTTTAAAAGAATATAATAGAGTAAATTTCTACATCTAAAATAAAATTCCTCTGTTTTAGAGACAAAATAGAAAAATATATTTGAAATGGTCTAATTCAAAAGTAAAATAGAATAGACCTTCCCAGTTTAATTCGACCATCCCGATATGTATCTTCAGCCTATATATTGGTTAATTTTAAACTCAAAATTAAAAGAATCTCTTTTTAGAGTATTTTAAATAGAACTAGGATGAAGACATAATCATGATGAACATGACCCACAAGTCCAATTTCACATAAACTAGAACTCTTTTTTATCAAGTTAACAGACATCTCATTCAAAACCCTGTCTATAATGTGACTTAACATTCAACATGAAAATCACAAACAGAGCAGAAGCAGAAAAAGATAAGAAAAGACAGAACAAACAATCACAAAACCAAACAAGAGAATCAAGAATCTGCAGCAGAGCTTTGTGTTGCACCAACAAAGCGAGACTCAGCATTTCGTCCTCGTCTTCTTCTTCGGTAGAATCAGACAGACATTCTAATTTCTCAGACCAGCACTGTTCGCTCTCTAGCCTAACACACTACATGGTTCAGGAGAAGCTAGAGCAGATGATCAGAGAGACGGAAGAAGCTACCCACCAAGAGAAGTTAAGACAACAAAAGATGAGGAGAAGAAGAAGAAGCAAGAGTAGTATCAGTAACACTAAGTTTATAGTGATGATGGCAATGGAGAAATGCTCGTATGATCCAAGAGAGGATTTCAGAGAGTCCATGGTCGAGATGATTGTAGCAAACAAGATCCGAGACGCAGATGAGCTTAGAAACCTGTTGGAGTACTATCTATCGATGAATCCTCGTGAATATCGGTCTGCCATTCTCGAGATCTTTTATGAGGTTTGTGCTGATTTGTTCTTGTGTTCGTAACTAAAAGAGTACAGAGATCCGTTGTTTCTTTCAGTTGTTTGTGTAAGAAGATACCCCGGTTTTGTAACGAACCGGTTTTCTAAGTAATAAATAGACTAAATGGCACACCTTTGTTAACTCGAACCAAACCAAAATGTTGAGAACCTTAATCCGAACTGAGCTTGGTTTGGTTTTAGATTGAGCATATATCTGACAACAGTACCACATCCGAATCAGTGCTTAGTGTTGGTATAGCAAGACTCTTAACAGAACGGTTGAATTACGTATCTATGTGTGTGTATATATATTCCAAGAGTTACATCCATTTATAACTCTCCAACGAGTAAAGTATATAATAGTTACAGCACTATTAAACAGAGACTTATGGTTCTATATATGTTACTATACGGATGTGATGTGAGTAATGATGATTTTAAGGGTTTAAGAGAGAGCTTCCTTCTCTGATGAGCACAAAGACGCTTCCACCATCCCCTCTCGAGATCCGAAGGTCTTTGTCGAGATAGGTGGTGAGCAGCCACGACTGCGCACTGTCTCCAGGCAAAGAGAATTTCAGTGGTGGCTGGCTTGAAATGGTTCTAGCCACTGAAGAAGCCGTGTCTTGGACCGATGTAAGTAACCCTCTGATGGGGTTGAGATCGATTTTCTGACCAAGAACCTCAATGAACTCCGGTATTTCAGTCGAATCAATTAGCTGAGGAGTCCCGATAATGCCTTGCTCAAACTTGACCTACAAGCAAACAAAACCCTCAATTATAGGTTATGCAAAACGGGCATTGGACATCACCTGCTGTTTTAAGTTATGACTGATGATTAACCTGGACGCGTTTAGGACTTCGGACTTCGAATTTAGCGTTGGTGCTTAGCGATGTTGTGGCAAGTGGACCAGCGAACAGGACAGAGTTGTGTACGGTGAAGCTGTCGGAATCAATGGTTTGTGAGATCTCATCCACTTTAACCAACGGTGAGATTCTTCTTGAGAGCAATGGGAACAGACCAACAAACGATGTATAGCTGCAATACATTACAAATGAAGATAAGTTCTTACTTTATAACTATGACATAACACACAGATCCGACTTTAACAGCTACAGAATAAACAAATAACTCCAGATTTTCCCAGATACTATGATTAGAAAAGAAAACTATTTTGAAATTTTTTTATTTTTCTTTTTAATTTTCTGAATTTGCATTTAATTGTATGTATTTTAATTTAATCTTCTCTATTTTTGAACTTTTATTTAATTTTCTGTATTATAATTTAATTTAGTTTAATTTTCAAATTTTATTTTATTTTCTGAAATTTTGTTTTATTTCTAGATTTTATTTAATTTTCTGGTTTTTTCTTTTAGTTATCTGGTTCTATATTTAATTTTATTTCTTTTAATTTTATTTTTTTAATAATAAATAATTATTCTTTTGGTACATCACATTTACATGTTATACATGTAAGTTTTAACTGATGAGAAGTAAACCAAATTGAAATTTTTTTGTGATACAAACGTCATTTTAAAGTTTTAAAATCTTAGTCGAAAAACTTAAAGATTTAAAGTGTCCACGTGCCACTTTCAAATTTTTTATGTGATTTACCTCTCAGTTTATAAAAATCTCCAATGTAAAAAAAGAAATCTCCAATGTAAAATTTTATTTTTCATCAAAGAGAGAAGAATTCATAATAGAGTGGGTTTTGATCTAACTGTAATCTATTTTAGAATGAAAAAAGAGGAATGAACAAAAAGTGCATTACTCCATTTATGGAGTGGAAAATGAAGTAAAGTTAGAAATTCTTTTATTACAAATTCTATTTTAGATTCAAAAATAGAATGAAGTTGGAAACACTTTTATATACCACTACACAGGCAATTAACAGTAGCTTTAGTTGTTCTGGTTTGGATTGGGTTTTTCAAATTTTTGGATTTCTCCTAAGTACCAAGATAATACTTATTTTTTAAAATATCATATCAAAATAAATATGAAAATCAAATGTTTGAATTACTTATTTAGGTTTATAATAACTTTTGGATACTAATGCGGGTAGTTGGGTATGTTTTTCTCGGGTTTCTTTGGGTACAATTTGAGTTCAGGTCGGGTTTGGATAATTTAATACTTGTAACCCAATATACCATTCTACAAAATCCATTTGGATAAATTTAGACCGGACAAAGATTTCAGTTCCGGTTCCGTTACAACTGCCTATGTTTACGGAGATATCTCCTGATAATATGAAACAGTTTTATTCAGAGCTATTAACCAATTTTAAATCTTCTTCTTTATTTTGACTATAAGGGCTTAATTTGATTGCTTCTCTAAGCCAAACCACTTGAAGACGCATTCAAATAAATGGAAAAGTGAGTAAATGTTTACTTACACGAGAATCCATTTGCCGTTGAGGAGAAACAGAGCTTCGTTAGGAGCTGGGTTAGGGTTTCGCGACTCGAGCTGCGTGATGAGCTCACTGATCTCCGCTCTCGTCTCGCTCGATGCGCTTAAACCTCGATCTGTTCCGTACAGAGAATCAGCCAACACTCTCTTAACCCGCTCCGTCTCCTCCGCAGATTCGATAGCTTCTTCTGCAACTTCCCCCGCCACAGATGAGTTCGATCCTCTCTCGGGACCCCACTCGTCCTCAACGTCACCGCCTCGGCCCTTGGAATCTGGACCCCACTCGTCATTAACGTCACTGGCTCGGACCTTGAAATCAGGGCGATGAACTGCGATTCGGCGATTGATTGAGTTAATGGGCACTAGGATGGGAGTTTTTGACTGAAATCTAGGGTTCGAAAAGCTTGAAACTAGGGTTTTGCAGGGAAATTGGGTGAACAATGGTACCGTCGCCATTCTTATCTCTTGACTCACAGACACAGTGATGAATGAATGATGTATCAGAGAAACAAACTCAAACCTCACGAAAATAGTTTCTTTTTCTGAGTCGTTTGTTTATAATCGTTGAATGCGAGTGAATGACATATATACCCCTTTTTCATTACGCAAGAACAGGAGTCGAGAAAGGGGTATTTTAGGTATTTAGAGCAAGTGGATGTAAGATGTTGACATGTGGATAGGTAACCGTGAGGGGAATAGACTTGCCCTCGTGTGAAGCGTGGATTATTTTCCGTTACTGATTTGATTTGAAGTTGCCGAGTTTGCTGAGAATCCATAAATTTGTGGAAACCTTTTAATTGTGTCCTTCTCTTTAATTTATGTGAAAAAATGGAAATAATTCTAGAAATATTTTGGATTTCTGTCTCATTATTTGTGTGGGAGAGAATTTGTTTGGTTTGGGAGACACCATGCAAATAGCATGTTGGATTTAGAAGCTCCGAGACTGTATTTGTTAGACGAATATTTAGTTTAATATATTATTATAGGCAATTTTCTCAAACAGCCATTCTTAAGTTCATCTCATAAAAATAAAATGATCAAAATAGTCTTTTTTATTTATTTTAAAATTTGTAATATTTATTTTTTATTCTTTAAAATTTTAAGATCTTAAATCCAAAACTTCATCCCTTAACTATAAACTTTAAGTTTAGATTAGTTAATCCAAAGATATAAGTGTATATTTACCTTTTTATAAAAATTATCTTGGTCATTTCCTTTTTAAGAACTAATTTGTGAAAATAAATTAAAAAGAACTATCCAATTGAATTTGTCTATTGTTATTGATTTGAATTTTAAATTTTTTCATATATTTTATTCAAAATTTATTGTTGTTCTGTTGGACTTTGTTTATTATCTCACATGTTCAAGATTTTAGTTGTTATTTATTTTATAATTTTTAAAATTTATATTCTTAAATTTTCTTTATATTTTACTCATAAAACTTAAATTGCAAATACAGTATATAGCTATGCCATTCTAAAATTTTCTATAACAAAAAAAAAAACATGTATACACTCAAAAACCCAGCAAATAAAATAACAAAAATTGATTTTCTTTAGTAGAACCATGAATAATGATTAATAACAACTGTTATACAAATCACGGCATAAGCCATACTTTACATGTAAGTACTAAAACATGAAGTTGACTGAGAGTTTGTGGTTGGGAGTTTGTGATCAAGTGGTAAGAAAAAGGATTTGGGATGCACTACCTTTCAGGTTTGAACTACCGCTATGTGAAGGTAAGTTACGTTTTCTTTGTCACCTTCCACAGATATGGAATATTATTTTTGGCCGATTTAAATATATGAAAGAGAATCTATCCATGGATTACATTTTTCACCCGAATGTTAGGTCTTACTCTTTAATAGAACTAGATTTATCTTTTTTTTTACCAAAAACATGAAGTTTAGTCGCGTCATAAAACTTCTCAGAAGGTTAAGACTAAAAAATATTGCCCAGATACGGAAATTCACTCTAAATTCTTTCTACGTGGGCTCTGTTTTACAGCTTTTTTAAGTTCATTTTTTGAACTTGAAATTAGTAACAGATTGGCCCTAAGTTCACATCAAGCCCAATAAAAGAAAACAAAGCATGATAATTATGTTTCATATGCCAGCTTGGTTTGTTTTACAACAAAAGGAAACAAAGAAGCTAGGCTGGACACAAAATAAAAGAAGTACAAGGCTCAAGAATCTTAAGCTCTTTACCCTAACCCAAAAAAAAAACAACGTGAAAATTGCTAGAGAGATATTGGAGTATAAGAATTTTAGGGAATATGAGACATTGTTCAATAGATGTCTTTGCGATATATAATGTTTTTATTGTTCTTTTCCTTTGATTGATACAAAAGAGAATATTTTACAACTTTGTGTAAATTTTTTGATTGATGATCAAAATTGTGGAATACGTTTTCCACTCAAAAAATACCAATAGAAGTCTGACATTCACTACAAGAAAACATATTTTTATGAGGACAATTTTTCTTGTTAATTCATCGTAATAGGAAAATTACGACGAATTAATAAGGAAACACGTTTCGTTGTTAAGTGTCCGTCATAATGGATTGTTCGTCGTAAAGTCCATGTAACATTACGAGGAATGATTGTCGTTGTAATAAAGACAAGGAAATGCGTAAACGTTATGTTTCATCGTAAATTTCTCGTTCCATTTTCTCGTAAAGCGCTCCTAAACCTTCCTTGTTAACTCCTTGTAACTATATAAGGAATTTACTAAACTTCCATGTAAACTTGTAGTAAACTTTACGAGAAAATTACTAGGATTTCCATGATAACTCTTTGTAAAATTTACGAGGAATTTACTTGGTATTTATATATTTTATATTTTTTATTTATAAAATTCAAAATTCAAATTATAAAATCAAATATTTTAAAAATTTAATTTTTTTTTAAAAAGCCATAATAATATATAAATTTATAATACAAAACAAAACAAAATAAAAAAACTACGGCATGTTATTCCCGAGGTACTCGTCGGGGCGGGTTGGTTCCGGGCGCGTCGACCCGTTGACTCGGGAGGATGTTGCTGCATTCCAAGAGCTGCCCGTTTTTCATTCAACGCTCTCTGCATAACCGGGTTCATGTTCGCCATAACGTCCAGCAGATCTCCAAGTGAATCCAAACACTCCTGCTGGGAGTCCATGCGATCCTCCATTTGAAAAGTTTCCTCATCCTGTCTCAAAGTGTATGACGAAGTCGCCCTTGGGACTTTGTTGACGGAACCCAATTCCACCGTCCGTCCCTTCTTTCTAGGAGCCACCTTTTTCAAAAAAAGTTATAAAATACATTAATATTTTAATTATATATATATATAAAAATTAATATAAACAAATTAAAATTTATTTGAAAATTTTATCTCTTCGAAAATCTGGTCGACTTCTTCTGTAGTCAATGTGAGGGGTAATCCATCGAGAGCCTGATGGGTTAGATGTGTCTCCCGCTCCTCAACCCGAGAAACCACATCGTTATATAGTTTCTCGGATCATGGATCCACAAAAAACTACGTCTGTTGTGGCGTGAGTCATCCTGAATAGTTCAGTGAGATATGGAGGAGGACTATCCCTGACAACTTTTTTGTACCTAAACAATGTCTTATTTCTTCGGTACGGATGGGTAAGGGGAAGAAATCGACGATGACAATCAAACCAACAACTCTTCCTACCATTCTTCAATTGAAAATCATTTGTTGATCCAAAACAATGTGGAAAAGATAACCTTCCATGTGTAGTCCATCCAGACAGCATCTCATAAGCAAGAAAGTCACTTATCGTCCAAAACAGAACTGCTCGCATCGTAAAATTGTTTTCATGGAACAATCATATGTCCTCACTCCTTCTGACCACAAGTCCTTCAGCTATTGTATCAATGGTTAAAGAAAAACATCTAGCGACCGCTTTGGATGCTTCAAACCAGAGATTAATATGGTCAATAATAGAAATTCTTGTTCCATGCACATCTCCGGAGGCAGATTGTACGGCGTAAGAATGACTGGCCACAAAGAATATTGTCTCCCAGACGTTCCAAGTGGACTAAATCTGTCTGTGCATAACCCAAAAAAGACATTTTCAATATCTCTTGCGAAATTTGGGTGTGCCTTGTTGAAATGTTTCCAAGCTCTTGCATCTGATGGATGAGCGATCTCGCCATCCCTTTGGACATGTTCAGCCACCTCATCGCTTCGGCAATCCTCTTAGTTTGATATAATCTTTTCAGCCTATCTGTAATTGGTAAGTACCACATCATTTGGTATGGTACCCTATTCCTCTCACGTCCTTGCGGTTTGAATTGTGGCTTCTTGCAGAATCGATACTCTTCTAGCTCTCATCGTCTCTCCAGTAGATCATGCAGTTGTCGAAGCAAACATCTATCATCTCCGATGGCAACCCGAGATTATGAACCAATTTCTGAATTTCATAATAAGATTCAGCTGACACGTTGTCTTCTGGCAAATACTCTTTAAACAACTTGACCCATGCATCCAAGCAATTATTATGATCCGTTTTAGTATTCATCATCCTAGCTGCTAGAGACAATTTACAGTGACCTTCTCTACAACCGATTGATTGATTTGCATTATCTAGCATTTCATAACATCTTTTTGCATCCAAATTAGGTTCTTCAACACATTTCCAGTTGCATCAGCTATTGTTGTACTAGTTTCTAAAAATGAATCAGTAATAATGTCGTGAACCCTATCATGATATACCATCTGTCAAGCAGCCTGATTATATTTGTTATGCAAATGATTGGGTTCCTCATTATTACCGAAATTCTGAAAATTACTATTTCTACTACTAGCTTCATTTCCTCCATAACCCTCTCCATGCTGAAACCAAATATAGTACTGTGGTGTAAAACCTCTATGTACTAAATGTTACCATATAGTTTTAGTACATGAAAATTTTGAATTCTTGCATTTACGACAAGGACATAACATCTTACCACTTTCTTGCTTCAGCGGTGTACAACCTGTCTGGTTCATGAATTCTCTCGCCAGCCAAGAAATGTATTCGTCACTCTACCGTCGGAATCATTATGCATATACATCCAACTCCGGAATTCAAAAATTATTCTTTCATCAGACAATTTTTTGTTTTTTTTCGGTTGTGTGTTGATATAGAATGAGAATGCTCATATATATAGAAATTTCTTCGTGTTTGGTAGGTAAAGTTTTACTAAGTATTTACAAGGAAGGATTTATTATGATTTTATATGTCCCTAACATCTTGGTCACAATGAATTAAGTTAGGTGAACCACACATTTAAAATCGTGTTCACCTAACAACTTTCGTTGTAATGCAGTTGTAAATTTACGACGACATTACAACGAATGTATAAGTATTATTTTTTTTTTCATGGGATTTCTTCCAAAAAAAAACTAAAGGGAATGCACAGTCATCGGAACAGTTTTATCAACTCTTCATAGCTATTCATCGACTTCTCGAGGAAAACTATGCGAAGTTGATAAGTAATATTCTGGTGATCGTGTGCGCCTTTCAATTTCTTGAAAAATCGATACATAAATCGTTGTAACGTGTTTCTTGTTTTTTATCTTTGTATTTGTTTGTGTGTTGTTAGGATTGAAGAATGACATATATATATATATATATATATATATATATATATATATATATATATATGAAATTTTTGAGCTTGGTTGGTAAATGTGTAACAACGAATTTACAAGGATAAGTTTTACTAGGATTTTACAACTCTTTCATATCTGCTTTACAACGTTTTTACAACGAAAGTAGTTAGGTTAAGAACACGTTTTTATTTAATGTAACGGTTAAATGGTTCGTCGTAAAAACCTAGTAGTTTGACTTCGGATTTATGACGAAGCTTCTAGTACTTTCGTCGTAAACTAACATGTAAAATACGACGAAATGTTTTCTTTGTAATTGTAGCGTGTTTTTTTGTAGCTATTTGGTGATCAAATTCTTTGTATCAGAAATTGAGAAACTAATCAGATAGATCTAGATGTGTTAGTGTCCTAAGTTCTTGTAAATTTCATAGCATAGTTACATTTGGAAAATATATTCCTCACTATGAAAGTCACTCCACACACAAAAAATTTGCAATAGATGTTTATTTTCATAGTTTAAGTTTTGTACATACATTTAACACCAATAATCAGTTTTACATAATAAGTATAGTGTTATTTTTCGTGTCACATCCCAGCTTTGGGGTTCGGAAAACCGTAAATTGAGAGAAAGTTGTAAATTGACAAATAATTACTGAAGATAAGATGATGAGCAGTGTGCACATTTCATCAAGTGCAAGACCAACTTGATTGACCTACAGGTTAGTGATGATTTTAACCAGCTCAAAAGAAAATGACCAACATTAAAGGGCATATAATTAAGCAACTCCATTCTAGGAAATCCACTTCTTATAAGATTGCTTCTCCACTAATTTGATCATGTTAACAACATCCAGTTTTTAATTCAATCCATTTCCTCACGTGATTGAATTGGTGTTGTTGTCTTTTCAAGATGAATCACTTGATTTCTTTTATTCAGTCAACAGAAATAAATGCTTGATTTGAGCCTAAAACAATATCTAATGTTTTACTATACTTTTCGTAAAGGAAAGGATCTCAACATTTAACCAGAAAAAAAGAACTTCAAGAGGATCATGACATGGCTGCCATTTATGTTCGAACCAAACATTACGACATGAAATGCTGGAGTATAGTTTTACTTTCGAACTTAAATAATATTTATTCCGATTTCCAATAACGGAAATATAGAAAACGTAATTAACACCCTCGTGAATCTCTAGACGCACCACCATCACTGAAGTCACGTGCACGATTAAATTGTTTCAATAAATGTCGAGGATCTCGATGATCGGACGGTTACAGAGGGGACACGATCCTCGATTGAGCCACACCTCTCGAGAGCACACTCTGCAAAAAGTGTGTCCACATGGGATAAACGCTGCGCCTTTCTTCCTTCCCATGCACACGCAACACACTGAATCACTACCTTTAACCGTCGCCGTTACTCTCTCCGTTTCGTTCCCTTCGACGACAACTCTCTCCGCCGTTTCCTCCAGCAATCTCATTAACGACACAGGTAACGGCGTCGAACTCCCAGATGACGCCGTTGGTTCTCTTTGGTGATGTCTCTCCGCCTCTAACGCCGTTGCAAGATTCATTCGACCCCTTACATGATCCAACTCGGAAACAAGTCCGGTTTGAAATGGTTCGTCCCTTTCTCTAGCGCGAGTGTTACTAGTTAACCGGAGTCCCCAAGCGGGCCCACAGCATCCGATTCGTTTAAATCCTAGCCGTTCCTTAAGAGACCGTTTCTTTCTCCTAATGTGATCGGGGCCGTCCAACTGGATTCGGAGCAAATCGAGAAATGTCGTCGTCTCTGGTGACGCAGGCGTGGCATGATGAGTTCCAAGACCGAGTTCACTCATTATTGACTCAGTTAGTCACTTGAATGAAAGATCCAGTAGCGAGAGAGAAAGAGAGGGAGATAGAGACTGTGTTTGGACTTTGTGTATCGCTGAGTTTAAAAAGCTATTCAGTTTCTTCCGTATTACGATTGGATAATATTATATTTACTAGATATTTGTAGCGCGGATTATGTCTTTTGAATTTATATTTTAAACTTACAAAATTTTTTTTTAAACTTAATATAAATATACCTAAATGCATTAATTTTTGTATATGCTGCTTTTTTGGTTTACGATAAAAAAACTAAATCTAATCCTTTGTACTTTTTAAAATTTATTAAATCTATTTGAATTACACAATTAATAACTAATATTTTAATTTTCATTTCTAACAAATATGTATATACACATATATATTATAATTATTAAATTAAAACTTAAAAGATGTGACATGCATGTAAATCATGATAATGTTTATTATTAAGTTTATTTATATTTGAAAAATTCATATTAGTCTTATATATATAATTAAATATTAATATTTTAAAGTTAGTATATCTAAATTTATAATTCTGAAAATAGCAGTTTGAATTGGACGAAAGGCTATTATTCCTAAATATATTTTTTATATAATACTTTTCAAATAACTAATTATTTAAATATTATTTATATAAAAAATATTTGAACTTTGTTTTTCTTTTGTTTTAATTTTCTATAAAAATATAACATATTTTTTTCTTAAATTGTAAAAAAATTGAACTAAAATAATTTATAAAAATGAGAGAATTCAAATAAAAAATTGATATAAACAAAATCTTAATCTTAGTTAAATTGATAATAAAAAAATCTATTCAAAAATCTTTATTAGTTGAACTATTTAATGGAACACTGGTGGTTTTCAATTATATATGAATAATTTTAATGGAATATAACCTCGACTTTGGAAATCATATATGTTTTGAATTTATGTGTATTCGTCAAATCTTGCATTATTTTATGTTAATTATATTTTATTATGAATTTTCAAATGTTTGGTATATATTAAGTGAATTAATTTTCAAGAATTTTTAATTTGTTATTGTATGTTATTTTATATTGATACGTATTTATTTTATGTTGTTCATTTACCATATTTTAATTAATTTTCATCTTTCTGAGATAAATATATTTTTTTGAATTTTTGATACTTCAAAATATTTAATGAGATACTGATTTTATATTTTTTATTGATAATTTTAAATTCTTTGTGAAAACTTCCCTAGTCATATAACCTCAACTTAAGAAAATGTTTGTAACTAATATAGTTTAAAGTATTTGAAAATTGTATTTTTAGAAAATATTGCATTTTAGAATTTTTTTTTTTTTAGTAAAGGGTTTATAATAATTTTCTTAAAACTTTGTATAGATATCAAGTTAATTTAAATATTTTTACACTGGACTGCTTAGTTACACTCACATGTATTCCATCACATGTTAATGAAATAATTTAATTGAGATTATGGACAATTAAGCTCATGACTAAGTTAAGAAATCATTTGTATAGTGAAATATAATATAAAGATTCTAGCGTATTAGATTTATCTTCTACTTGATTTAATTAACTATGATATATAGTAGTGAACTTTTTATGAATGCATAATGAAATTAAATAGATTTGGTTTTACTTTCTGAAAGTATAACACATATTAGTTCATGGTAAGATAAACAATGCTTACTTATTTTGTAATTCTACATGAAGATCCTTTTTGTAACCTATTACATAAATTGACAGTTAATTTTGTGTAAGATTTCATTGTTTTTGGTTTGTTGATTAGTATTTTTGTATTTTATATTATCGTGTTGATGAATGCATATTGACAAATCTTCCTATCGTTTTCTTACGTTATCATCAGATTATAATTTGTTATTGACATGCCATAGCAATTTCAATGAAAGTTTTAACAAAAATTAAATATAACCCCAAATTCAATATTTTTAATCGGATGAGAAACCATTTAGTTTGTTTTATTATTAACGATCATACTTTCTAACAATGTTTTGTAGGCTACACCTACTTTTGTATTTTCTTCATAAAGCATAGTATTTGATTAGCTTCTATACGGTTATGTTTGTATTATCTTTTAAATTTTGTGTCAAAACATAATAAAAAATTTAACTGCTTATTGTTAAACAATTTTTTTTTCTTTTGCTTGATAAGAAAAAGTTTGAAACTCATAACAAAATTATCTTTTAACAATATGTATTTCATATAAATGGATTTTTCGTCAGTAGCTTTTTGAATTTTGATAAAAGAAAATTTGTAAACTCAAATGAAAGCGAAATAATAAAATGGTTTAAGAAAGAAAATAATTAAAACCAATTTAACATTTTACCAAAAAATAAATTAAAACCAGGTACTATTTTTAGCTGGTTTAATTTGTGATATATTATCAGTTTAGATGATGTTTATTTGTATTTTTTAAAAAGTTTTTTAGCAGTTTTGATATCAATTACCCATCGGCTTAAATAAGCAAAGTTTGGAGAGGAATCCTAGCTGTCTCATCTTCTCGAAGATAGCCTCCGCTTTTTTAATGTTTTGGTAACATCTCGTGTAGGTGTTTAAGAGTGTAGTGTAGCCCTTCATTTTCTCCGGGATGATTCTTTTGAAAAACTTATGAGCTTCTTTCAAACCCAACTCTTTCTCAGTATATCTTCTGGAAAAAAAAAATTGATCGCCAAAGCCCTGGAAATGCCTCAAGTATTCTAGAAAACTTATTTGAGTCACTTAGACTCTTGATGAGGTCTCTCAAGTGTGAAGGCTTCACTGGATTCCAAAAATTTGCCCACTTTTCCGGCAAAGGAGTGATTTGTTTATTATCACATTTTCTGTTGCTTTCCTAAACCTCGGTTGCAGGTTATAATTGTTGTTCAAAAACACTTGCATAATAATACTTAGAACACCCGTAAACTTCAGGCAAAAACTTTTTTTGGCTTTTTATATAGAAAACAAATTCGAACTGTACGTTCCTACAAACTTGGAATCAAATGCATAATGGAAAAGATACTGGAAAGGTGATTCATGTTACTCTGTTCCTATCAAATAGGAAGGGCAGTAGTGATCTAATTTGCATAAAAAAAAATAAAAAGAGAAGACTAAGTCTCAGAATTTAGCGTTGAACTTTACGTTGTTTTTCTTGTGAAGATGAGTCTTCCATAGTTAGCTTTATTTGCTGACTCTTCATGATCTTACGGTCCCCTCTTCATTGTTGCTTTGACAACCAACTTCTACTTCCTTGCTTGCCTTCAGGCTATTTGATTTTACTGGTAAGAAAGATTCTTGCTTCTGTTTCCTAGTCCCGGATAGAAGAAGCTGGTGATCCTATATTCTTATGGTTGCTGCTCGGTTTAACGCTTCCCTAATCACATCTTCGTAATAGCTTTTCATGTGATTCTTTTGGTGTTGGGCTCACCTGAACTACTTGCCTCTACAACAACACCAACTGCTTTCTCTACTGGCGTATCATTCTCATATCTGCAAGTTAAAAATAGTCATGTTATTGATCAACACACTAATCAATGATTTAAAAGATAGTTCATAGTTTTTTTTTAAAAGCAAGAACACCAACCGTGAGAAGGTTGATGCATCAGAGAGGCTAATAAGCTTTTGATGCTTGCTTTCATCTTGGTTCTTCTCTAAACTCCCAGAGACACATCTCTTCAGAGAAAGCCCAAGCTCTGGCCTTACATGCTGCTGCTCAGTAGTGTTGTCTTCATGGTAAGGCCGTTTGTCTATTCCACCTATCAAATCCATTGCGATGATGTCAAAAATTCAACCTTTTTTCTATTTCAATCAGAGGTTTGACATCATCGCTGATAACCTGCATAACTGACAATCCCACGAACCAAAAGACATGGAGAAGTGTTTATTGGTACCTGAGAACTACTTCCATGGTCAGAATGATATCTTGAATCTGCACAAGCTTCATCATTATCTTCTTCAGGTTCTGCTGTGAAGCTGGTAAGCTAGGACCATCACCAGTAAGATCACCACCACGCAACTGATTAATAACCCCAAATAAAAAAAGACAGTCATTAGTCTTTTAAGCTTTAAAATCAATACAAAGGAAACACAAGAAAAAAAATAACCTACAGTAACTCTTCTCCAAACGTCGCAGGTTCTTCAGTTGGGTTCGATTGCCATAGATTCGGCTTATTGAGAGAGAGTAGAGGTTATTGTAAGCGTAATCGAAGGATAAACTAAGAAGAGAGGCCTATAAATACAAAGATGGCGAAGAAGGTGAAAGGGAAAAGCCATTGAATAAGGGAAACAGAAGATTGTTGAAAAGGGGGTGGGTTTGATTACTGGAAAAACTGAACAGAAATCATCGGAGGAAGTCGAAAAGTAAGAGAGGAGATGTGATTCTCGATATCTCCGCAACGAAAGCTGTATATCAAATAATAAACCAGGCCGAAGTCAAACCGGGCACTTGGTGATAAAACAAACCTGATTTTGGTCTCCTCAACAAACGAATTTCGTTGGCCTGAACCAAAATGACATGGCGTTTTAAAGCCCTACTATTGGCCAATTATTTTTGGTGAGGTGGACAGGGTGAGAGGGCTTGATTTGCCCCTTTTAATAGTGTAAGATTAGATATTAGTTAGGGAAAATTGTCATTTAAATCACCAACGTTCAAATTTGGTTGAAATAAAGCACCAACTTTCTCATAAGCCAAAAAAACACTCAACTTTTGTTGACAAGTCATTTAGTCACAAACTTTCATCGACCATACCAATTTAGTCATATCGTCAGTCAACAGTTATAGTTGACTAACGGTATGCCTAAAATGACTTTTAAAGTTGGTGTTTTTTCTGGCACAAATACAAATCAACAATTTTTTCGAAATATTGAAACTTTTAATAACTATAACACTAATAAATAAAAATTTTAAATAAAAAGTAAATTCCACTCAAAAAATTAAACATATCTCAATGTAAAATTATTAATTAACATATCCTTAATTGAGTATTTTAGTTAAAAAATGATTGTGATTTTTTTAATTATTTACGATTAATTTTAAAAACTATTTGTATAAT